GATAAATCACGGCGCCGAAGCGTTATCTCCGCACGATCCGAAACGAATTTTAACGCCGCTGGATGCGCCGCTGGATAAATAAAAATGCAGGAAAGTTGGAAAGATTTGATTTTTAGTAGAAGTCCGGGACAGCTCCGAGAGCTTCGCGTAGAAGTACATTTGTCTGAATCAACGTTATTTCTACTCGAATAACCAGTTTTAAAAGATGAAATGTACATTTTTATTTCCGTAATCTTGTTAGATAGCGAACCGGGAACGGGTGGGCTTCGAGCAGACTTTCAGGAATTTCCTTTGAAAATGGCTCGACAAACTGAGCGGCCAATGGGAATTTTATATGCAGAAGAACCCCTTTTTGAATGCCTAATGTTTTATCGCGCCCTGAAGAAAAAACATATTTCTAAAAAAAAATTACTAACGTCAACACTGACATTTGACCTAATAGTATTCATATTTCACCGGGGCAGATCTAATAATATCCGTTACCAATTTACTTGATAAATTGTACGAAAAATATCCAGCACACATTTTGTACACACTTCTGAAAATTTACTCTTGGCGAAATTTTATTCGGGAAATTTGAATATTTTCCGGGTATTAATTTGATTTCGCTCGACGTGAGCCCCGTTTAAACTTTTCCATATAAGTGCCTAGACCTTTTCGGTTAAACTAATTGATTAAGGTTTTCGACGAAAGTTTATAATTCATATTAGCCCGATGTTTAAGGAAAATAGCGGGTTAAGCGTAATTTCGTTTCGGAAAATTCGGAGCTCGAAAATGTATCGGGAAAGCGGATTTGGAAAGTTCCACGCAACATCTCCGGAACTTTTACGCGCAAATTGGAAATTGCACCATTGTTTTGTGCTTAAATAAGTTTATTGAATTACAAATATACCTACTCTAATTGCTTATTAATCAATTTAAATTAGCTAATTGTATTCCGGCGCGGTTGGAAATTCGATTTGTTCGAAAATGAATTTGCCAATTTGCAATTGTCCATTAAACGAAACGTTCTGTTTGGAATGTTGAAACGTTCTCGCGTACATTATTTGTAACTGAAAAGAATTAGGCTACTTTTTCTCGCTTTTGTTTCCTCGTTGCGCCCGCCATATTCCGGAGCGAAAAGCTTAACTCGATAAAATGGAGAAAAAAAAACGAGGGGCGGGGAAAAAGTTATCGCAACTTATTATAGAGGAGGTTTCCGCCGACTTTTCCACGTTTCGCATTTGCGACGAAATAAATCGAGTTATACAGTTTCGTTGGGCCGTAAAGGATTCGGTTCTTTCTTATTCCTCTTTTTTTTTAACTCGAACATGTAGACTCGTATGTGTCGGATTCACACGGTTGCAGTCGTAAGAGATTGTTGTTTATTCGTTTATGTCTCGAATGGACCTCGTATTGCGAATTAGCAGCGAACTAAGGTTGCTGGAAAAACGGGTAATATTTTGAGATTAAATTAAATTCTCATTGAGCAACTTTTAATATTTCCGTATTCGTATCAATTAGACTAGCGTTGTGAATTAACCTAATTAAAAAACGTGAACGTTTGTAAAATTTCCTCGGTCCCATTTGTTAATTATTAATTTCAACGGAACCATCCCCCAAAACGAGCTGCGACTAATATCCCAAAGTCAGGACCGGTTTCAATTGAAAATGTTCAGTGCATTTTAATTACTGCTAATCGAGTTAATAAACAATTGCGCGTCGTCCCCGAATTTGTTGTTTCATCGAATTTGCGTTGAATTAACTTGGCATTTTACGAGGGTAGCTCGTAAACAAGTTGTTACAAAGCATACTGTTTTCGTTGAATGGTAGAGCGAAAATGCGCCGAAAACCGCCAGTTTTTAACGCGATTAAAACTACCATCAAAACTTGTAAGCGACGCATTTTTACTCGGTTTCGTTTTCAAACATACATTTATTTGCAGAAGTGGCCGAACGTCACAGAGTTATTAACAAAGTTCAGAACTACTCCAAACAAACAAAACGTACATGGGGGTTCACAAAGCGGAACGACAACCATCTATTCAAATCCGCGGTTACAAATTGCATAATGGAATTTGAACCGGCTGCGCAGTGGCGTGCCGGGCGAAATCGTCGAAAAGGCGGAAGAGGTTTTTGCGAATCGTGCGTACGAATGTTAACTAGATGACCGGCCTTTGTAATGGCCCGGCTCGAAACTTTGTTAGATTGTTAGGAGAAGTTCCTTCGATCGAATAGTGAAGTTGGATTAATTCTCGCATAATTTGTATCTACGAATACATGCATAATTCAATTCTAATTTATACAATTAACCTGATGCTATCCACTTCATCTAGAGCGATTTTAAACTTGCAACTCATTAATTTCGTGAAGGTATTTTGTCGAAATTTAATTGTACTTTTGCATAAAACGCAACTGATTGTCGATACATTATTAAAAGCAATTTAATATCAAACGAACTCGCTGCATTTTCAATTAATTTGTTTTGTTTTATTCGCTTGCGAAGCATGAAAATTGGTGTGTTTTGTTGGTTCGCGTCCATTTTAAAATTCAGTTGCCAATGTGTCGTATTAATTATTACATTACAAATTTCTAAAAATAAAATGCTGTATAAACTAACTAAACAAATCGTCTAAATTTAAGTTGCATTCTTTTATTAATAGCAGGTTTATACTAATAACTATATTTTGAACCAAATATGAGATGTGTGTAAAAACGAAGGATTATCAAATGCCCCAATTTCCTTAATATATCCCCGTTTATTTCTATTAGGACGGTCCATTTTTAGAGGTCTCTTATAAAGTAGGACAACCGAAAAATCTGTCGATCGTAAGCGAAAATCTCAGTAAAACTCGATCAACCATTAACCAAAAATATATGTTCAAATTACATAAATAAATCGAGGCGTCTAATTCTATAATTAAAGGCATCTTCTGATGAATAAATCAAACACAAACACAGTAACCCGCGAGTGGTTTCAATTAAACTCGCGAGCAGAAAGAAACGATTTCGTATAAGTTTCAACGACAATCGACATCGTTATCGCTCTTTTTAGCGCGCTCTAATTGCACTAAATTATTTTCCGTTGTTCCGAATGCAGCGTGAAAAAAATCATTACCGCGTACAGTGATTCTCTATTTGCCTAACGACTTTACCAATTAGACGATATATTTTCAACAAACCAAACTGTTATCTACTAATTTCGATGACATGCACACTATTGTTAGTTTTAATGCAGTTTTTCCAGTACTTTACTACCATGATTTTTTAGTCATTAGTATAAAGAACGGAACGAACAATTCGTCCAGAATTTATCGATTTTATCACATTTAGCTTGGAAAATTCATCAAATAAATCGATTACTATACCGCCCATCGGGTCCATCGCAAATCGCCGTCCTTATCTCCCGTTCCGCCGAAATAAAAAGGATAACAATAAATTCCGGCCGAGCCGCAGATTTCATCAATCCTTCTTCGGGAAAACTTTTCGGCCGGAGCGACGTGCTCTCGAATCGCATAGCCCGCGATCGGGCCGCGAACTCAAGAACATTTTCCGGTGCCAAGAGTCTCCGAGGACCGAGCGAAATATATAAATTTTCCCCGCTGTCACGACGTTTCCTCTACGGTTCTGGAGATAATGGCCGAGAAGCGGCCGGGAAACACCTAGTCGGAAAACGTTAGGGCTGCGAGAGGACGCCGCGAAAATGCATTCTCGGTCGAATCGATTGTTGTTTCTGCACGTGTTAGCGGGTCAACGTGTGCACCGCCGGGGACTTGATATCGATGGAAATGAACCAAGGATGCATTATTCACAATGGATAATGTGATGCAAAAACTAAACAGTTTATTTAATCGCGAGAAGAGCTTTTTTTTATTATGAATTTAGCGAAAAATATCGACCTTATAACAATTTATAATGTTAAACGACTCCCACGCGACAACATTTATTATTAATAATTAGCTAATATTTCGGAATTTAAGCACGTTAAGATGGAAAGTGACTAATCTATCGTTCACATTAAGAATACGATAATGCACAGGTGAACTCATCGTTAGTCACGATTATTTTCTATCTTTTTTTTCCTATTATTTAGAATTGCAAATTGGATTTAACTTTGAAAATTGTTATTGCGTTTTTAATAAACAATCTTAGATGATTTCACGGCTGTTTATGCTGCTCGGCAATTCATCTAATGCAAGGTGAATTGGAAATTAAAACGCTGACATCAAGTAAATCTCGATGCATGCACACGTTTCGAATAAATATTCCGTTACGTGGAAAAATCGTGAAGATTATTTCAAAATATTTTGAGGAATTTAGAGAAAACTTGGACTCGCTGATAATTTTTTACAATCAACTTTGATGGTGTCAAATTCTGCCAATTTTTAAACGTGCCAAATGGCACAATAAAAATTAAAATCAATGCAAAAAACTTGAGTATAAAAATAGACGAATTTTTCGCGAACCACCGGTACGTAAGCGTTTGCTGCGAAACGTTACATAAAATTAATTTACGATAGAGGAGCGCTTTTATATTTTTTATGCTCCGGCCGAGCGATAAGCACTTCAAATCAAATATTTACAGTTTTTTCTGGTTAATATCAATTCGGTTTCAAAATTCGACCGAACTTAATTTCAACATGTTGGCCCAGGCGTAATTAAAACCGATACAGAAAACAACTTGCCAGACGGGCATCTGTTATCTCTATTCCCCACTAATTTTAGATAGTGTACATTTCGAGCTTCGATTTTTTTATTCAATCCCTGATAAGAATTTTTGCCCAAATAATCCATGCACTTTATTATCGAAAAAAAAATAGAGCAATTAGAAATTAATAAGCGCGCACACAACATTTTATCGAAACTCCTTACAAAAAAAAAGCTAATAAGCACTTATCAAACCGCAATTACTTAATTAATCGCGCCTACTGGAAACCGAACGTAATTAATTCTACGAGTGGAAGCGAAAACGTACACCGTACGCGACTATACGAGAGCGAAAGAAACAGCAATCCGACTTACATTATCTGTAGGTAACTGGCAGTGATGCGACGGGGTGCGTTCCCCGCCTAATTTAGGACACGCGGGGGCGGCGAGGCCTAGGTGTGCCGCTTCATGTGGAGCGCCAGATGATCCGAGCGGCTGAAGCATCGGTCGCAGTGGCGGCACTTGAACGGTTTGGCTCCCGTGTGTTTGCGATAGTGGCGAGTCAATTCGTCGGATCGCGCGAACCTCCACTCGCAACCGTCCCACGAGCATTTGTACGGTTTTTCGCCTGGAACAATTACAACATGAAACCTACAACTGGAACCATAACTTTCGTCGCAAAAAAATACTCGTGGTAGATAAATTTAGCTATTTTAAAAGCACTAAAATGAAGGAATGTGAAACCAAAATCATTTTTCAACAGAATCCAAGAGTTGGAGAAGTAAATAACAAGATCCTATCATTGGAGCACTACCACAGGTATAAGATACTACTCAGTGGATGCTACCAATATATGAAAAAAAGTAAAATGTGTAATGATAAGGCAGATGAAGATGATACCTGATCATGTAAAGAGAAACTAAAATGAAGGAAGAATATAAAACAAAAATCATTTCTCTATCCGTATTTTTAACGGTATTTTACTCTTGGGGGTCGGACTACAAGCACTAAAAACTGACTTAGCTATTTTAAAAGCACTAGAATCATAGCAAAATTAGAGGTCAAAATCATTTCCCTATTTCCAAGTAAAAGTATAAGGGTTTAGCAGATGAAGATGATACCAGTTCCTATAAAGAGAATAAGAGAATCTACTTTTGGACTTGCTCCAGAAGCAATACTTTGGCGTCCATCAGAAAGGATTTGGTAGAAAGAACCTAAATGGATTGCCGGAGTAAAAGAAACCTACCTGTATGAGTTCTTTGATGGGCCTTCAAATGCGAACTCTTCGTATAAACCTTCTTACAACCGAGGTATTGGCACTTGTGTATCCGCCTCTTGGAATCGGGCGAATGGTCCGAACGGGAATGATGCTTTTGCGGCGCCGACGACGTCGTTATATTAGCACTAGAATTACTATTACTAACTGCCGGCGGTCGAGAGGGCACCACCGAAATGTAGCGCGTCACGCCGGCCGCTCGAACGCGGGCGCCCGATTCCGGAATCGACGGCGGCGTCAGGGCGGCGGCGTTCCGCGATGACAACCGCAATTGCACGTCGCTGTCTTCGTCCTCATCCTCGTCGTCCTGCAACCAAATACAACAAGAGTTATAAAGACCATATAAAGAAAGACTAGAATGGGAAGGATTCTAACAGAACACAGCACACATGGGGGAAACTTGGTGATAGGTTCGCTCAAGAACGGCTGAAGAAATGGACAAAGATCTTGTAGTTCATCTGGAGAAAAGTTAGTGGTATATGTTTGCTCAGGGATGGGAAAAAACAACTTGCAGTAAACTTGGAGAAAACTTGATGATAGGTTTGCTGAAGAATGGGAAAAAGTAGGACTGGAAGTACACCTAGAGGAAACTTGTTGATAGGTTTATTCAAGAATGAGCGAATAGAGAACTCGTAGCACACCTGGAAGAAATTCGTTGATAGGTTTGTCCAGGAATGCGAGAAAGAAGAACATGTGACACTTTGCCAAAGAAGTGTAGACTCTATTTAGTACAAGAGGATAATAAATAACGTACCTCGTCGTCGATGGGTTCTTGTTCGACCAATATGGCGCAGGATAGGGCACCGTCCCAGGAGGTGGGCGAGCTGGCCGAACTGAGAGCGTCGAAACGGTTGTCGTTGTAATCGTACCCATACCACGTCCGTTCGACGTCCGATGGCAGTTTTTCGCCTGAAACAATAACGAAATGAAACCCACACTGCAACCACAACTTCCATCGCAAAAAATACTCTTGGTAGGTATCGAGGTTTTTGGTTATTTTTATAGAAGGGTGTGGAATTATTATAAATACATTAGAGTTGACACTACCGCATTGAAGCGTGTTATACGTGTCTGTGTTTGATTTACATGCATAGATAAATGTACAGATAGTAGGTACAAAAACACCCGCATATCAATTGCAATGGCGAACCCAGAAAAAGCCACCCGGATAGGATATCAGCGCTTCATCAAATTCGCTTGTTTAGATTAGATTAAATAATATATCAATTCATATTTGTGTAAACATAAATCGACCAGTTATTTAATTAAACATCGGAATTGATTCCGGTTGTTTATCTACAATGGTTTATAATTTATTTACCCCTGCAGGAATAAACCGGAGCTCAAAAATAACCATATATACGGAGAGAAATTATTCAACGTAACATTTACCCGATTCCGAACGGGATCGGGGCAATTTGGATTTTTGTAAGGGCGGTTTTTAACGGTAAACCGAACGCCCTTATGAGTTCGGCGCGTCAAATGGCCCGTATACTTCTAAACGAATTAATCACATTAGCGTGAGTAAATTTACTTTGTTGCATTTACTGTCAATAGTAAACCGTTTAAAAAAGCTTCGACTCCGGTCATTATGTCACTTAGTTCATGACTGAATTCAACTCGCCCACATGCAGCTAATAAAACATCGACTAATAAAAAAAACACCATTAATTTTTTCTAAGTGAAATCATCGTCCCGTTAAAAGACAATGCTCGATTGTTACGGATTCGTGTGATTTTCGTTTTAAAATGGTAGAAGAAATGGGTATCTTTTAATAGCTCCATGTCTATTAGATAACCTTTACTTACATAGTAATACCGGGCTTTCCCGGGGAAAATTAAATGTTTACCACCTTCTAAGAGGCTTAACCCGGCGCCGCCTCGTAAATTCCTCTGCACCACCTTTGCATAATGTAGCCAGATTAGAAAATAAATGATGCATCACGAAGATACCGAGGATATTAACAAACCCAAAGCGCCTCGCCGTAGAAACGCCAACTAAATCGATTAGTGCACAAGAGAAGTTTTTCGCACGAGCGGGATTATTATCATACGAGGCGACAGTCGAGTGCTTTACAAAAAAAAAACTCAACTCAAAAGGTGATTATTTCCCGTGCCAGTATTAGAGTTATTAAAGTGGGTTTTTGGCATTGAAATGTATTGTTCGTATGGAACAAAACAAGTTAGTTTAAAAAGGCGATAACCTTTTACGCCGATGATATCATAACGTCTAAACGCGGCTTTTAACGAACTTAATCGGGGCGTTAAAATATAGCGAGATGGCATTTTAAACGGGCGAATAACCGACCTCTCCGGGACGCCGTTTAATTACACAAATGGAGTCTCGTTTTTCGTCTACGTCTCTAATCCGGAGTTCCAGCAAAACTTCCATCCTTTTTGACCGCAAGACTCACCTATCCGGAAGCGAACTTTAATCTTCCAAAAATTTAATTACGATCTCGCACGTTCGCCCACGTTTATATCAATTTCTATTAGATTTATATCTATATAGGATGTCCCAAGAGTTTCCAAATATTTGCAATATTCAGGCGAATATCATCTAAATTGTAATCAGTTTTATTGATGTAAGTTCTGAGATAATATCTCAGAAAAAAGTCTAACAGTGCACGTCTAAACAAATTAACGTTACCTCCCTTAAAGATAACAACATCGTAAAATGTTTCTTGCAATAACAAAGGGAAATTTTTTTATTACTACCCATATGAGCTCGACATAAATGTCTCTATGTTAGTTTTATATCGCAAAAAATGACGGCAAATTTAAAATATCAATTATTTTTGGAACACCCTATATTATCTCTATAATTTCTTTGCCATTTATCCGCGCAAATTAAAAAGTAAACGTTGTAATTTGCTCGCTTAACATCCGAGCGGTGATCATCAAAAGTATCTTCTGTTACATAAGTGTTAAAAAATAAAAATCCCAACCGTAAATTTAATTGCTCGTTTTCGTATCTATATTAGCTTATTATTGACACGGATTCCTCATTAATTACTCAAGAATAATCCTTAAACTTTCTAAGTACCTACTCATTTTATTAGACAATAAAATTACACTTGTTCGAAATTTACTTCGAAAAATTTACTCCAGATTCGCGCGTATGGATATTTCATCGTAACGCCAATGGAGCGATTTTCTCGAACGGAAAAATCGCCGATCTAATCGCCCGTCCGGGCCCACCTGCTCGCGCCAAGATAATATACATAAATAGCGAGATAAATAAAATTAAATCTCGCCGTGACATTGACCTCTAAAAATAACGAGTGCTCCACGAAACCCAATCTCGAGTATATCGGAGCGTTTCCTAGGTCAGTGGTTCGCTTGTGAGGTCAGGAATCAAAAATTCACGACTTGCTTGATAACCTTTTTTTTATACGGCACACCGGCCGGTTAGATGGATGTAATCGGTTGACTTGATAACGGCGTGTTTTTAAATAATTTGCGTATAAATACGAACGCATCGGCATGTAATTTAATCCAAGATAATACCAATCGTTATCGATTGGATAACGTGAAATATTTACTACATGCAAATATACCAAATTCTTTGGATGTTTTCAGTTTTACGAGAAATGAACATAAAGACGGGCTATCATAAACAAGATATAATCAAGTCTTACAATCAGCCATAGCACTGAATTCTCATGAAATTAATTATAGAAATTAATGTGTGAGAACACCTAAACAACCAGAATTGTTTAGGCAAATGTAATAAAGTTTTCCCTCCAACATAATCCAAGAGTTGGAGAAGTAAATAAAAAGATGCTATCATTGGAGCACTACCACAGGTATAAGATACTATTCAGTTGATGCTACCAATATATGAAAAAAAACTCATTTCTCTATCCGTATTTTTAACGGTACTTTGCTCTTGGAGTCGGACTATAACAAGCACTAAAAACTAACTTTAGCTATTTTAACAGCACTAGAATGATATAGAAATTAGAGACTAAAACCATTTTCCTATCTCTAAGCAAAAGTATAAGGGTTTAGCAGATGAAGATGATACCAGATCCTGAAAAGAGAAAAAGACGGTCTACTTTTGGACTTGCTCCAGAAGCAATACTTTGGCGTCCATCAGAAAGTATTTGGAAGAAAGAACCTAAAATGGATTGCCGGAGTAAAAGAAACCTACCTGTATGAGTTCTTTGATGGGCCTTCAAATGCGAACTCTTCGTATAAACCTTCTTACAACCGAGGTATTGGCACTTGTGTATCCGCCTCTTGGAATCGGGCGAATGGTCCGAACGGGAATGATGCTTTTGCGGCGCCGACGACGTCGTTATATTAGCACTAGAATTACTATTACTAACTGCCGGCGGTCGAGAGGGCACCACCGAAATGTAGCGCGTCACACCGGACGTTCGAACGCGGACGATCGTGTTCCGGTTCGAGATGCGCAGTCCGCAAACGTCCAAGTCACTCGCGCTCGAACTTTCGTTGCTCAGCCCGCCCTGGCCCGATTCCGGACTCGACGGTGGCGTCAGGGTGGCGGGATTCCGCGAGGACAATCGCAATTGCACGTCGCTGTCTTCGTCCTCATCCTCGTCGTCCTGCAACCAAATACAACAAGAGTCAAAACCATATAAGAAAGACTAGATTAGAAAGATTCCTAACAGAATACGGTAGACGTGGAGCAAACTTGGTGATACCAAAGAGTGGGTAAAATAAGAACTTGTAATACATCTGGAAGCAATCTTCCTGGTAGGTTCACTTAGGGTTAAGAGAAAAAAGGGTTTGCAGTAAACCTGGAGAAAACTTGATGGTAAGTTTGCTCAGGGACGAGACAATCAAGCAACAAACTTGTAGTACACTTTGAGAAAATATGGTAATAGGTTGTATCATGAATTGGTGAAAGAAAAACTACAACTGGAGTACATCTGGTGCAAGATTGATGGTAAATTTGCTCAGGTATTTGCTCAGGTATTTGCTCAGGTATTTGCTCAGGAAAAGAGACCTTGCAATATATCTGGAGAAAACTTGGTGGTAAATTTACTCAGAAATGAGAGAAAGAAGGGTTTGTAATACACCTGGAAGAAACTTTTTGGTAGGTTTACTTATGAATGAGATCATAGAAAACTTGTAGTATACTTGGAAGAAACTGCTCAAGCATGAGAAAAAGAAGAACATGTGGTACTTTTCTACTTCATAAATCTAACATTTGGTTGAAGTATAGACTCTATTTAGTATACAAGATGATAATAAATAGCGTACCTCGTCGTCGATGGGTTCCTGTTTTACCAATATGGCGCAGGATAGGGCACCGTCCCAGGACATGGGTGAACTGGCCGAACTGAAAGCGTCGAAACGGTTGTCGTTGTAATCGTACCCATACCACGTCCGTTCGACGTCCGAGGGCAGTTTTTTGTACGATTTCATTTTGGGTTCGTCCTTCAGGTACTTTTCCATTTCGTAACATGTCTGAAAACGAGAAAACCCCATTAATATGCTGATTATACCGAAATATATTCTCAAGTACCATCCAGTACCTTATAATTTCTTTATACACAATTTTTATTCAATCAAGCATCAATAGAATAAAATATACAAACAATGCAGGTCTGCTAATGAACCTACAAGCATCCTTTATTCAGCAATTGCTTTGTACGAGATGTCTAGTAGAGCTTCAGTCTACGCCGGAGTTAAATTAGAAGTTTTTGAGCAAAAATAATTTATTTACCGTCCGCTTCGGCAGGAACGACGTTACACGGGTTCGTTAATAAATTATCTCGAAAATGAAATAAACGATTAATAAATAATTAACGCCCTTTCGATTTCCATCCGGTGAGCTACTCATCAAAACAGAGCAGTCGGATAGAGCAATTCTCGACTTAATAAAAACCGACGCGAAAGTCCTTTCATAATAGAAACGTCGCGTCGACTTTCTCTGTTTCTCTCCGGATTTTATTTATTATTAATCCGTGTATTTTCCGACACGGAAATTAAACGACAGAAACTTAGAGCAAGGAAATATTGTTCAATAAGGATAAGAGCGAGTTATGATGCGATGAAGGGAGACGGACAAAACGGGGAGTTTTGTTAATGATTTGCGCTTATTAAATTCGTGAATTAATAGATAGTGATGTAGGGTTTTAATAACGGAGTTTCTCATTATTAAACATACTATTTTTATGACGTAAGAACTTATTCATTGAGTGTGTAGGGCGATGAATAAACCGCTTGTAATGTTAATCGGTTTTATTAAATTAAAACTCTAACGTTTCGTCTAATCGACCAACATCAAACTGTTTCTTGTTTTTCTCTTACTCACTCGCTTGGTACTCAACTGACCCCTGAGTCACACAGCTGACAATTGACCCCGACTGTAATATCTCTTTAAAATTTCTAAATTAGCTACATATGCCATTAGCAAGCATTCTAGATTTTCTTACGAATGAACTTTCCCAGAAGCAGAACCGCCAATTAACCACACGAATGCATCATAATAATCCACGTGGAATATGACATACAAAAACCGACGGCTCGCCGTAATCATTGTGTATTAATTTCGTTGCAAAATGCATTATTAACATACCTTCGCAGGCTCGGGTCTTTCTCGAAAGGCTTCTCGATTATGCCTATTTGCAGTACACCTCGAGGTTATTTAGTCGTTAAAAGGTGTTGTTGCGGATTACACGTTTAAAATTTCTCTCGTTTATTAAAACGAAAACGGCTAATTAGGAAACTAGAGCAAACCGGTAATATGTCATGTCAGCTTCCAAGCGAGATGAAAAAAACCGCGCACACACACACACACTCGCAGGACGGTAATTTCGACTAATTATTGACTTAACGAAGGCAATAATTTTAACGATGAATTCGACGATTTAAAAGCACCTACCTCTGTGCGTACAAGAACACCCGCTATGCATTCGAATATTTAACAGGGAGAGAAATAAAAAAGTGTGTTATAAAACCGCGCGAATTCCCGGCGGTTTTTTCCGGCGCCCCGAAAGCAACGACGCTAATTTATCTGGATAAAAGTATGACATTCTTTTCGCATTCGACTTCGCCGACGAAGAAAAGAACATTCGTCCCGCGTTGTCACGCGAAAAAAGAGCCGGCAATAAAAAAATAAAAGTACAGAAAGGGCCTCGACTCGAAGGTAAGGACCTTCCTGTAGAGATGGGAACTCACCGTTACTCCACTAACACATTTACTACTTCATTAACCTACCCGCTCGAGTAATAATTTATGTTTATTAACTCGTTTTTCACTTCTAAATATGTAGATATGTAGTTTTATTAACTGTTATCTCTGTAATATGAATGCACCTGTTAATAAACTATATATCTCCCATCTCTATGTATTATCTGACACTTTTATTGGCTGGCCCTCGGGAGTAATTATGTAAGACGAGAAGTCCCGGAGAATCATAATACTCTTTTCTAATATTTCAAAGTGAAGTTATACGGAAGAAGCGACAGACGGTACCCGGTAAAACGCAACGAAAAGGACGTTATTGAAATGGATAGCCGAACGGGGCAATAAAAGTTCCGCGTTTTTTTTTTGCTCTCGTTCGAAACGCTTCCTTTCCTATCCCCTACGCGATCGAGAAACACTGCAGATGTCGCACGCTACGAGGGTCGACGGAGAAGAGAGAACCTTTCGTCGCGCCCTCGTAAAGCTAACAGGAATTTCCCGGATGGAATTCCTGCATTATGCGTATACCTGTTAGGCGTCGAGGAATCGCTATCCGAATTACTGCGAGGCATTTACCGATTTTCGACATTAAAATCTGGTACACGTTCGCGATATAGCGCAGTTCATTTTAGCATCTATAGAAGAAATTCGTTGTTACGATGAAAAAAAAACAATGAAACTCCGACGCTTCCTACAGCTTGATAAGTGACACGGTTTAATTGATGCGACGACGAGGGATTTATCTTACTGCTTCTTTTCTAAATAAAAAAAAACATCGTTAAGACAATCCTGATAAATGACATCGAAACGAGGTCTCGTGTTTCTCCTTTTATTCGCAAAATACTCGACGTTTGCGGTCCCCTGCGTTATCGAACGCCCCCGAAAACTTTTTAATTTATTTACTCTTAATTAAGGAGACATTATCAAGGCAAAAAAACGGGACAGCCACTAACAATAACGAAATTATTCTCGTTATTTTTTCAATCCTTCTATTACGACGAATTTATTTTTCATTATTATATAAACGGCTACGGTTTGAAAACACGCCGATTAAGTATCCATATAAATTAATCACCCTAATGAGATAATCATTGCATTAAGGTCACGGATACAGTAACCTGCAATTCGCGCGATTGTTTATTAAAACGCAAGCGGAATGCAGTTGAGGAGGAAAATCAGGTAAAGCGAATACCTTGACATCGTTTAACGGCGAATTAAAGCCCAAGAATGCAAAGATGGTCGCTTTTTTACGGCCGCGCAATAAAAAAAAGCCAATTTTACGCCCGTTGTGGCTTCGAAAAAAAGGTACGACAAATTGGCATTTTCGCTTAGATTGATTAGTATGCATTTCGCGTATAAAAATAACTAAACAGTTACAGAGTAATTGTGTAAATTAGTGGCGATAATGTCGCCGATAGAGAGGTTTAATTACTTTATTTAAACGTACCGAAATAACGACGTAGAAAAATAACAATGTATAGTCAAATTTCGATCCATTTTGATACAAATTAGGTTATAAACTTTTGTATAACTTTATATAATTTTTGTAGAATTCACATACAGCGTTGACAAGAATAATACAATTTCCTTTGAATTGCTTTATGAAGCAATGAGCTTTTTGAGCTCTCCAAAAAATTCACGGAACCTTCTAAAAACTTCAGGGAACATTTTAGAAACTTCATGGCACCTTCAAAAACCTTTTATAACCTTTTATAACCCACCTTTTGGAAACTTAATGTGATCTTTTAGAAGCTTTATGGAACCATTTTAATCTCATGGAACCTTTTTTCGGAGCCATTTTTTTCAACTAAAACGGATGATATAAGCCCTTCATGAAACTTTCCAGAAACTTCATGAAGTCCTTTAGAAACTCTTATAACTACATGGTGTGTATTGTAGATACAATTGGCGAAGCACCAATGTGATTATGAATGAAAATTAGTTACTCCAAGTAGCATTGGTGGCTTTGTCATTGTATTTTGCTTGCTTATTTGAATTCCACTGCACTATACAGTATCAATCTAAGCAAATGAAAATTTTTGTCAATCGAGGCATATTTCCTCCTTTTGGCTGGTGCATTGTTCGTCGAAAATTGAGGTTAACGATACGATTCCGAATTCAGCAGGGCATAGATCCGCGAACGAGCGAGTGCTGGGAAAAAGGGTACGCTCCGCCGGTAGGCGTATAGGCGCGTATAAGCGCTCTTTTTCATAACGAAAGTTTCGCCTAGTTTTCGCCCCGTTTTTCCTTTCTTTCTCACGGAAATCGTTCTTAAAACACTCCGACGCCGCACGGCACTTTACGCCGTTATATTGTTGTCGGGTTACGCATGTTTGGGATCGCTTCCGCTCGTTTACGGAAAGACGAGAGAGAAAAAACGGATATAATTTAGCTGTAATTGTTTGGCGCTCGATCGAAAAAAAAAATGTAAAATTTTACTTAGTTTTTTATAACTCACCTTCACTAGAGTAGCCGTTAAAATAATCTCATCTCTACATAATTAAACTTTAACCTAAAGTAACTTCATTTCACAACCTATTATTATGATAAATAATTAATTAACGAAAAAAACAAAATTATCCTAATTTATAAAATATTCAAATTTCAATTATTGCATAGATATTCATGAATTGAATATAAAAAAATAAAAATTAAGCATGCATATTACAAACGTTACTTTAATAAAAACTGAGCGATGTATAGGTATTTGTTGCTATGATGTAAAGTCGACTTTTATTATAAATAGATTACATCATATCGTTGGAATTCTTCAATAAACCGAACGAAAATAAACAAATAGGACTTATTTAAGAATTGGCTGCGATAATCCCGGAGTATCGTTCGCATGTTTGTGTATTTTTTTCCTCTCCTCTCGAATGATAACTTATCAGTGGCAATTTGTAATACCCGTATATTAGCGTTTCTATTTATAGGCGAGTGGGTTAATTAATGGAACGAAACACATGCGAATCGGTAATTGGGTAAATAACGCATAACAAAACGGTATTACTGTTTCAGAAATAATTCATTCACAAATAATACCGTACGCGAATTGTCAACAGTTCCGAACAGAATAGAGCAGTTTTGATATACTAATATTACCGGTATTTCGGAATCGGATTCGGAAGATGCGCGTGCAAAAAAAAGTTTCGAGAATTACGAAAAAAAATTGTAGATAATATTCGCTTTATTTAAACCGATTTTCGCTTGTTCCAGTAAAGTAAAAATATCGCTGTCGCAGCTCGAGCGCTCGTTGTTTTTGTAACATTGTTGAGCTA